ACATTTCACCAGCATATGTGGCTGGCATCTTCAGAGAGTTTCTTTGAAGATGCCAGCCATAGATGCTGGTGAAACGTCAGAAAGAAACTCTTCTAGAACATGGCCACACAGCCCAAAAAACCCACAAAAAACTATAGATTATATAATTGGAAGTAAAAGATGGCAGAACTCTATACTAGTGGCCAAACTAGACTAGGCTAATCATGTTATGCTTAGTAGTGTGAATCTGTTTCTTATGTTGTCAATAAATTCTGTTGAGATATTATTTAGATCATATTTTGGTATAATCATATCAACAACAAGAGTAAGGCTCAAGAAGAAAACAAAACCAGTGATTATACCAAAATATGATCTAAATAATATCTCAACAGATATTAACAGACCAAAAACCAGAAGAACTATGGTCCGAAGCCAGGGACATAATAAAAGAAGAATGCAGACAGACAAGCTTATCGCACTGTGTTCTCGTAACGTGATGAGAACATGATGAGAACAGAACGGAACATATTTTATCACACGGTATGATCCTCATCGAGTTCCCATTCTGTGCTCTGACAGTCCCTAGCCCATTCCAGGAGGAGAACTGTAAAAATGCGTCCTCAGCCAGCAAAAACGCTTTCAGACCATTCCAGATGATCTGTGTGCAATAATCCTACCAGTCTCAATCTGTCCTCGTGTTCTGATTGCCTAAAACAACCTCCTCCCCTCCCACCCTAGAACGTCCACAAACTCAACTCAACTCTTCCAGTGTTGATGCAAGAGAGCTGCCATAGGCAATTTAAAAAATATTTTTATTTTTGTAGATTTAATTGTGTTGTGTTTACAAGAAAAAACAATGAATGCTCGCTACCTAAACCTCTTGGTAGCATTCTTTCCAATGCAGACATGGGGGTTTTCACAACAGTGACCATGCGTTAATGAGGGACAGCTGAGGAACTGCTTTAGTGCTGGTACCGGTACAACATTAAATGCTGTGCGATAATATGTGTTCTCATAATGTTACTATCCCGTTATCAATAGTCTAATGCGGTAACACCCGTTCCCATTATGTTATGTTCCCACCCGTTATGTTCCAGGGATTCAATGGGAATGTTACAGGTACTAGTGCAATAAGCTTAAGGCACTTTCAGTAAACAAAATGAAAGAGGAAAAACCATGGATGACAGAAAAAGCACTACAAGCAATAAAGAAGAGAAGAGAAGAGAAACAAAAGGGAGATAAGAACAAACTAAGAATTATGAATGCAACAGTACAATGGTTTGTGTGGAAAGATAAAGAAAATTACAGAGAAATAGAAGACAACAACAAAAAGGGAAGAACAAGAGATCTATTTCTTCTTTTTTTAATTTTTATTATCAAATGTTAATACATACACGATATATATACATAACATAACATACCAAATAACATTTAACTAACAAGACAAATACAAATACTACATACACAACATAACAAAATCACACATTAAAAAAACAAACATAAATTAGTTTCTATTGATCTATAATTACATATACGGTACTAAATGTTCCTTCCTAATAAATGAATCATTGCCTAATATTCGTTTTCTATTTCTATATCCCCATATACTATGCATCTCTAACTCTATATAATATTATTATTAAACAAATCCATATCCATTGTAATTTCAAAATAGGTTTCTATTCTATTCTATAATATCTTGTTTCCCATACATCCTTTAACTATATTTATATTACATTCATATCTCTAAAATTTGATTTTTCCCCCTTATTCTTTCTCTTTATCTTTCCAATATTCTTTAAATCCTATCCAATCTTTTATAATTTCATCTTCATCTTTATCATTTAGTAAGCCCGTTAATATATCAGATTCCATAGCTTCCCATAATTTTTCTTTCCATTCATTCACCTTGGGGGTTATTGATTTTTTTCCATTTCCCAGCATACACCATTTGGGTGACTGTCACCATATAAAGTAAAACTCATTTGTTATCTTTTACAAATGACTTTTCCAGTGAATCCGTCATATTCAATAGGAAAAACTTCGGATCCATAGGTATCGCAAGAGATCTATTTCACAAGATCTGGGAAATCAAAGGAAAATTCAAACCAAGGACTGTGACGCTCTATGACAATAAAAATAGCATAATTCAAGACCAGGAAGGAATAAAAAGATGCTGGATGCAATACACAGAAGAACTATATAAAAGAGATGACAAAATAAAGGATACATGGAATGAAAAGTCATATGAAGATGAACCCCAAATTCTAAAAAACAAGGTGGAAACTGCAATAAGAGAAATAGCCAAAAACAAATCACCATGAACAGATGATATTCCAATTGAGCTGCTGCAATCCACACTGAGAGAGTCAATTCTAGTGCTAATTAACATATGTCAGCAGATATGGAAAACAAAATGATGGCCAACATAGTTTTTTGTGGGTTTTTTTGGGCTGTGTAGCCATGTTCTAGAAGAGTTTCTTTCTGACGTTTCACCAGCATCTGTCGCTGGCATCTTCATTCATGATGGCCAACAAATTGGAAGTGATCAATATATATCCCCATCCACAAAAGGGGAAGCACAAGAGACTACAGCAACTATAGAACCATAGCACTAATCTCCCATGCAAACAAAAGTATGCTCAAAATACAGCAACATAGACTCCAACCACACATGTAGAGAGAAATCCCAGAGGTCCAAGCAGGGTTCAGGAAAGG